CAAAAATTTATTTCATAAAAAAATCAATTATAAACAAAAAATAATAATAAATAAAACAATAGAATAGTATTAAATGCAAAAAATACATATAATAAAAACTATTGTTTTTGCGTCTTTATTGAAACGTAACTTAAATTTTAAACCGTTCATTTTCAATACAAAATAAGAAAAATGCACATAAAAGGTTGTTTTCGGTATTAAAATACATTGAAATTGGTGAAAATATATTTTCAAAATGTAAACGAGATATTATTTTATTTACTAAGATTACTTATAACTAGTGCTAAGTGCTAACCATTGAGTAAATAACTGGAGTGAAACTTAATTAGTTCTTAGCAAAAGTGTTTAGCTGATCATTTGTTCTCATTTGGAAATGGACATTAAAATTAATTATGCTAACTTAAATGCGATAAAATTAAATAAAGTTTAATTGTCGATGAACTAAATACATACGGGCAAAACAAGTGTTTTTAGCTATTGCAGTAACATGAAGCTTGTTTGATTTTTTAAAATCATTCAATATCGTAAGATAACACGAGTCAAGTCTAACTATATACTTACACTGACTACAGCTTATCTTGATGGTGATGCCGTGATATCATTTTGCTGAGATATTGCTCTGTTTGAGTCGGAGTTTATTATCTTGTAACAGGAAACTACTGAGTAAAAACTGAAAGAAATGGCTTAATTACCTTATAATAGTACGTCTTCCAAACTATTAAAACCATTTATTGTTTACAGCTGCAAAATTTGAAATAATTACTATTTCCATAGTTAATCCGATTCAGCATCTTCCCGGTTATTACGTTGTCATTTGTGTCTGCTTCGATGTCGTAGGATTCAAGATCCTGACTATCATCTTCTGGTTCAAACTCCCCACCTCTTTTCAAATACTGTTTTATTAATTATCCTTTGGCTGATAAACTCTCGACTTTCCCACGTTCAGTAATCGACAATATTTATAATTTTATTTCAAAAAATGTTCCTATGAACACTAGAATGTAGAGTGCTGCCTGACTCTATACAATTTTACTTATATTTCTTATCTGTTACCGTAAAGTACATTAATTAACCTATACTTTGTACTACTACAACGCATTTCTCGTTGTTTTCAATCCGGAAATTAATGGAGAAAATGCGATACAGTAGGTGATCGGTTAACGAACATAATCTATTCCAAGACTTTGTTCGCTATCCGAATTGTTCGTTAATAAATTATCGATTTACCATTTTATGAGAATTTAATTAATTCGTACTGGAGATCCCAAAAAATAAAAAATATATATTTTTTACTACGTTTATTTATATGTAATAATAAAAATACATATATACACAGTCTTGCATTTTTATTAGTCATGTTATTTCCGTTCGTGGGGGTTAAAGAATCTGTCTAATGTCGATTGCTTTTCTCTCTTCTTTAGGATTTTTCAGAAGTAATTAATAGCATTGTAATTGTAGAGATTCCTAAGCCTATTAACCTCAACCTGGTTTGGATGCCATTTTAAGACCGTTGTTCTGACATCCTCCCACTTCTTCAAAAATATGTTTAATAGCCGATATCGGCATTAATCCTCTTTTTCAGAAGAAAATGTCTCGCTGAGTTTCTTGGTGTTATTCATTCAAAAGTTCTTGGCGTTCTTCTGTCATCAGATCCGTTTCAGGTTCTATTATGAGTTCTTCAATGTTCTGTATTTCTCAGATGTGATTTTTATTACTCCTTTAGCTGCTTGAATCTTCTTGATTATACTGTATCTTTCTTAGATAAGATTGAACTGCGGCCTACTGTAGACCTGTTTGAGCCATACTGCCCAGCAACATCAGACATCTTCTGCCCATTCTCTACCTTTGCTATTATACTCTCACCTTTCGAAAATAAAAACCGATGCAAAACTTAACGAGTGCCAGCCCGACAGTCTCGCGAATACTATAAAAGAATTGTTTTTGTCAGAAAAATAAAAGGCTGGAATTACAAGGGAGAGTTTAAGTTCGGAGGAATACTATCCGATCAGTATATACAGGGTTGGCGTCGATGTCGACGTCTTCCGAGCTCCGAAAAGTTCCGAATTGTTGCCTGAAAACAAGGAAAGACCAATCGGTATTCATTGTTTTACGTCGCTTCTTCTTGTGTTTGTTCTGTGAGGTGTTCGTTGTCCGAATATAAAAATCTTTCGCGAAAATGTTCGTTAACCGATCACCCACTGTATTTTATTTCAGTTTTAAGTATTCTTGAATTCCGTTAATACATAATATTTGTTTCTTTACAGAATGAAGACCTGGTAGTTTTGACGTTGGAAGAAGACTATAACGATGAAGTGTGCAGGACATTTTTCAGCAGTTAATGAAGTTTTTCTTTTTCTTTCTCTACATTGGACCGGCATGGAGTCGATGTTATCGACACGACGCAGGCATTCGACTATTCGGACATTTTCCGAAAAGTTAAATTTCTCTTTGTCCACATTTTTGACACACTGAGCGGAGAGATTTACTTGGCCATTTTTTTATAAACAAGTAGTGCTTCTCTTCGATGCGAACAGGGATGCAATGGAAGGATATAACGACTTTCTCCTTCCTTAGCTTCTTCTAGTGTTTTAGGATGAGATTTTGTTTTTTTTAACTTATTAATCTAGGACAAAGAGAGGTTTATAATTTTTTCCCTCTCGTCATACTAACTCCATTAATTAGTTTATTTGTTTACAGCAACGGACATGGAGCGATGCATCCCGGTAAAACTTTCTATGGGAAACTGGCCCCTATTTAAGTATTACTAATGTGAATAAAACCGGCAAACCACGTCACAAGCCCGTTGGAAAAGCACGAACCCACGACCAACTACCAGCGTTCAGTGATTTTATCCACTCGGACATAACATGTTTAGTATTGTGATTACATTGTCACATACACTCACCGAAATAGTCTCTCATATGTTCAAATAAACACATTTGAAACAATTGCATTCAATCACCGGTAATTCCATTCAAATGCGTTACAAATAATAGATTACATAAACCAAAAAAGTTCTTCCCAAAATTCAACTTCTAGATCCACGTCTCGGGCTGCGGTAACATCGGTCAATACGACCGAAGCTGAAGAGGCTCTGGTAACCATTTATTTTTGTCCTTGAATTTAAAAGTCGAATTTGAATTCTTCTAAAGAATCATTTACTTGCATCTGATATGTTTATTTTTATTGATTACTTACAAGTACTGTACATAAATTTTTTTCAAAAATAAACTGAAAAAGATTTCAGGGATTGTTTTATTTAATTATTGTGAAGTAGGTAGGAAAAAAATGCGTCTAAAAAGTAGAAATGCATTTTACATATTTAATACTTATTCTAATGATAAATACAAAGAATGAATGTAGTAACTTAAAGTGAGATTATAATCTAATAAAGAAGAGCTATACGTTGCGAGTTGAAACATATCTACTTATTAACTTGCGTGAAACATGGTCAATTTATTCAAATTTCTGAGAGATAGTAAATTCTGAAACAAATCCTTCTCTCAGAAAATTCCTCATCAAAGTGTCATGCTAAATAGACAATAATTAAAAAGAAAACTTATTTTCTTTGAATTTTAACGTTTCAAGATTATTCTCAGCCAATTTTGTCAACTATTTGTTAAGTCATAAATTCCATTAGCAAGTGTAATTTACATATAAAGTGAGAACTTTACACGCGAAAGAATTGCTTCCACAAAGTCTTCTTGTCATCCTCAAATAAGAGAAGTCCTGAATTTGATCTCCATTTAATCACAGTGCGTTTTAACATCGGCATTTTAAATGACATTTAAATTAATAAAAATAAATCAATTAACTAACAGAATTAGTATTATCTTATAAAATCCATTAAAGTACAATTTTCATGCACTAGCCATCTTAAAAGCTGTCCTCAACTTTTGGACGACTTGCTCTTATATATAACATTTTGATCTTATCGGGATTATTGAGAATTCCAGGAATTTTTCGTGGGCGATCTGTTCCTGCCCGTCAAATCCAAGATGGGTAGGACATTTACAAATTTTTTTAAAATCAAATACGAGAAATATATATATNATGACTCATCAGTGTTAAATTTCACAGAAGGGGGAGACAAAGAAAGTTAAACTTTGAAGCTTTTACTTCAAAATTAACGCATTTGTTTCGTTTTTTTCAGTTTTAAGTGTTTTTTTATGTTTAATTACACTTATATCAAAAATTGCTAGGAACTAAAGCGATTAAGGTAGATCTAGCTGTCCTTTACATCCATAAATGTTATTTGTCAGTGGAACAAATGGAGTGAGCTTTGAGCGTTCCACGATTTTTGGAGACTGTCTATACGCGGGCTTCCTAAATAAGCCTATATGTATGTTTGTCCAAGAAATTTTTGGATGAAATACAAACTGCACAACTTCAAAATTGCATAAAAGTAATCTGCATAAAAAGAGACCTTACAGTATTTTGATCTTGCAATATAGTCTATTCAAAAGATATGGAAGTGTGAAAAATCAGAAAAAATCTTTCTTCTTGATTCTTGCATATTAATATATCATTATGTGATTTTCTTCCATCAATAATTCTTTACTCTCTAATTTACTTTGTTCTTCCATCGCCAAAAGAAGCAAGACTTTTGTTTCGCAATCTTTTCAGCAGCATTTTCTTGGATGATATTCATTAATCATTCGTTAGTCGTTTTCTGAAAACATCCTTTCTGCTTCTTTATTCTTTCTTACATCATATATATATATATCTGTTCACTTTTGTTTTTATGATCTGATGACAACTATATAGTAACCTTACTAAATAAATAATTTTAGTGGAATCAAAAAATTGCTTTTATGTGTTCTATTTATTTAGTTATATCCAAATTAAATTTATTGTATTGTTGGCATATCATATTGTTATTGACATTCTAATTTCAAAGTTATAATGCTGGCTTAAATACATTTAACCAAAGAAAAATTAAGAAAATTATTATATACATACACAATATGGAATTTGTCATAATAATAAGAGGCCAAAAATATAATTTTAATAATTTTTATTTAACCAGTGATAGTACATTCCTTTACATCTGATAATGAAAACATATAAAAGATACAGCAATCCCTATTATTTTCCTCCTCTTTTATAATTATACATAGCTAAGTTCTTTTTATATATATAAATTTTGTGATCTTTGGACACAGTATATTAATTTGTCTTCAATGACATCAATTTATTCTTATGCTATGCTATAAGGGCACTTATTCAAAAAAAGGGCATAACTTAACAGTTGCACCAAATGGTGGTCAGATATTGCTAGCCAAGTCTTTGTCATTAAAAAAGAGATGACAAAGCATACAACTTTTTAAATTCTATAAACATTTCACCTTACTATCAAAAGATTTTGAATATTTAACAATGAAACAAAAAAAAAATGGAAGAAATTAAACATATGATTTGAGCTGCCCAATAAAATTTTCTTTAAAATTACAAAAAAAATCTAAAGTTTTTATATATGTATATAAACTTCAAGATTATTAAAGAAAACAAGAATTATATCTTTCTGCCAACCTCAAAACAACAATTCATCAAATTCTTTAGTAACATGATACAAATTCACTTTTTAAGAATCTATATAGCCATTTATAGGGACAAAAAATATTAAAGAATAGTCCCCATAGTAAAATTTACAACAGCTACTCAAAAATTCATTTCCAAATTAATTTTTATTTGCAAAAATTGAGATTGAAATTTCTCTTTTCCAAAAGTATAAAACATTTATAAATCTATCATTCTGATGACTTTATGCCACTTTTATTTAAATTTAAATGATTTTGGAAGATCCATAAAATAATGACACGAGAAAGCGATCAGAAAAATATAAAATGGGAATATAACATAGAAAATTTTCAAATCATCAATGTATGCACACAAAATTTCAAATTGTTAATGATAAAATTTAACTTGTGATTAAAGCTTTTCCCATTAATAAGTACAATTAATGTAGTGTCATTTATTGAAACAACATTGGTTTCAATAATATTTTGCAATCTGAATGCAGATTTTTGAAATACAGTCTGGAGCATGGTTATTTATTGGAAAATTGTTTTTCTTTTTTTAGTGAATAAGCACTAAAGTTAAAAACTTTTACAGTTAAATGGGAAAAAGTTCAATGTTATCAAGGCAAATCCTTAGTTTGGAAGCATACAGGTGATTTCTAGATAGTCTCTTTGAATGTATATTTGATAAAAACACATAATAGTTTCTTTTAAACCAATTTGAGCTATTTATGGATCAGCCATGTTATTGCAATTATATGGACATGGGAAACATTTGGGTTCACTGCCCAAATTTGGCAATGACTGACAGATATCTGCAAGGATTTCAGACTAGATATATATTTATAAAATTTGCATTCATATGCAAAAGATAACTTTGGGATTTACTTCTGAACTGGTTCACTTTCTTGTGTTGAACAAACAATTTCAGAATCCTTATCTGAAGCGGTAGGACCGGCAAGAACTTCTTTTGTTAGCTGTTCTAAAGTGCCTTTTTCTTGATCTGGCTGATGACATTCTTTGGGTTTGTCAGTAGATTTTGATCTGTTTCCAATTTGTTTTGATTTTAAGTTAGTTCCCACTTCAGATGTTAATCCAGTTTTGCTACCAGATTTTGAAGTGGGCACTGGTTTTTGAGTAGAAGGCATAGAACGAGACATTGTTTTTTGTGTGGAAGGTACAGATCTCTGCACATTTCTTGAAGTTTGAGATAAAGAATTTTGAATAGAACTAGACTTCTTAATGGGAACAGGTCTTCTCTGTGTTGCCAATTCCTTAGGAGCAACTGCAGAAGGTTTGGATGAAATATTTTTATTTGCACTATCTTTAGTTTGTTTTACATCTGAGTGCTTTATTGATGATTTACTTGGCAATATTCTTGAAGTTTGGGGTAATGATTTTGATTGAGTATTTGAAGTTGAATGGCTGGTGGTAGAAACAGTTTTTAATGATGATCTCTGTGAAACTGTTAAAGATGGTTTTTGATCTAATTTTTTTACAGGATGAGTAGTAATGTTAGAAGAATTGGTAGTTGAGCTAATACTTTCTGTAGTAGTTGAAATTTTTTGTGGTCTGGAAATTGTTCGGGTTGTGGCACTTGTTTTTTGAACTGATGTTATATTTGTTTTTGTACCAGAAACTCTGATAGTAGATATTAATGGAGCTGATTTTGGTCTGGACTGCACAGGCTCTTTTGACTGGACAGATTTCTTTTGATCGAGTGTTACTTTTGATGTTTTAGGTGCTGTAGATACCTTTTGTATATTAGGTGTTGTAGATACCTTTTGTATATTAGATTTAGTTACTGATGATACTGATGATTTGTCCAATTTATCTTTTACAGTTTTCTCTGGAAGAACTTTCTTCTTTAAAACATTATTTTTCGGTGTAGGTTTTACATCAACTGTAGATTTTGCAGGCTCTTTCTTTATTAGTTTAGAGGGTCTAGTTATAGGAGAAACAAGTGGTAACTTTTTAGATTTCACCGCAGTTTTGCCTTGTGCTACCCGAGGTGTAGAATTTTTTGAGGATAAATCTGGTTTTCCTCCTTGTATATAGCTCCAACCTCCATCTTTTTCAGAATCAGAATCTACATCTTCAGTGACTCCTTCTGCTTCAGGAACTCCATCAGGAATTACAACTAAATCAATAGTAGTTGCAGACTGATCTACTGAAAGTGAATCTGAAAGTGTTTTTTCTTCTTTATCTGCAAGTTGTTCAAGTAACTGACCTACTTCAGTGGGTAGACTAGATTGTGCAGGAATATTATATTGCACATTTTCCACAGGTAGACAGTCACCAATTGAAACAAGATCATTTGGTTTTGTTTCAAATGCTGGATTTTTTGAATTTTTACCCTCAATATTTTCAGTTAATAAATCAGATTTTTCTAAATTATTGGCAGAAATCATTTCCTTTGAACTGTTAGTATGATTTATAAAATCATCTTTCTTTGGTTCAGAAATTATAGTAGTTGAATTTGCACCTAATGCAATATTTTCAACATGAATTGGTTCTAATAATGCACCATTATTAGTACTGAGTAATAAATTTGTTTCTGTTACATTTGATGGTTTATTTTCATTGAAACTTTGAGTGAAATCAATCAATTTTTCTTCAGTATCATTTGAGTTCTTAATATTACAAGATTCTTTAGAATCTGCATTGCCAACTGCCAATTCAGTTTTCTCCAAAACAGGATTTTCAGATAGTGTTTCAAAATGTTTGAAAGTTTGATACTCATAATTTATATTTTTATTATCCTGAGCACTAGCTAAATTAACATTATCAAAAGACATACTTTCTATTTCTTTTGTATTTTTAATATCAAATTCTGGAGAATTACTTTCAACAGACACATCACTCTCTTCTAAGGGTCCTTCTTCCAAACCAGAATCATCAGGATGTTGGGGTGATTGTGAAGTTGTTCTTATCAAAACTTGATTAACAGCTAATTCAATTGCATTGTTAACAATTTCAGATGCCATTTCAATTGCTGTATCACTATTAACTTCTTCAATTTTCATATCTTCCTTTGAATCAAAATTAATTAATTGAATATCTTGAAAATTACTATCAGATGGTTTACTTTGGGGATTTTCTTGATCTAATATGCCAGAATCAGCTAATGTTACAGAAGCCGTAGATTTATTTTCATGAGTTTCATAAGAAGTAAAAGAAATTTTAGCTGAATCTAAATTGTCATTTTGCATTTGAAATTGTTCACTAGCTAACAATTCATCAATTGGTGGGGTAGGTAATTCACTAAATGCTGTAGTTTCAGGCATCACACTTTTTAAACCTGACTGACATGTATCTTTAAATCCATTTGTTTCAAAATCTTCACCACCTTCACTTTCAAGTGGATGGAAATAAAAATTTGTTAATTCTGATGTTTCAGGTGACTTGCTGATTTTAGACAAACCTTCTAAACTGTTAGGTTTAATGGCAGTTTCACTAAATGGATTATATCCAATATTGTCATTTTCAGAAGAACCATTCCATGAACCTTGGTACCAACTATCAACTTTGGTACCATCTAATAAAAATGAATGTGAAGGGGGATTTTTTGGATTTGAAGCAAGTTCCTTTGGATCTTTCAAAAATATTACAATAGCAGTTATGTTATCACTAGAGCCATGTTCTTTCGCTTGTTGTACTAATCTTGAAGCCACATCTTCATAATCATCAAATGGATGTTCTACAATGTAACTATATATGGCTGATGCAACATCTGATGGATTCAGCCTATCCCATAACCCATCACAAGCCAATACAAAGAAATCTTCATTACCTTGTAAAGGAATTTTGACAACATCTGGTTCTGCGCTAACATAAGGTTTATGTTCAGGATCGCCTAAATAAAAGAAGAGATATTTAATTTAGATTTATTTTATAAATTTACACACATCAATCAAATATAAATTATTTAATAAATTTGAATAGTTTGAACTTTTATCTAATTGCCAATTAAGCTATATATTTTAAATTTCCTTATTCAGAGTATAATAAATTTATCACTGTTTGTTAGTCATGACTTAACAATAAGAAATTTTAATGTCTTAATATAATTGCAATATTCCTCCTGTTCTAAATGGAGAAATATTAATACAAGTAAGTCTTGGTATTCATGAGGATTAGATTCCTTAGAAATCTCATGAACAACAATTAGGAAGGCCTATGGAAAAATCAAGTTAAGTTCCTGTTAACTGAGCCAATATGGTTGAGCTAAAACATGTTGCTATCTAGGGAATATTTAAACTTTTGCAAATGATTTAATAACCAAACAATAAATTATGTATATTTTATTTATATGTTTAATTATATTAAAAGCATAGTCTTGCATTCTACAGTGATTATGGAGAAGTTACAATAGTTTGGAAACATTGAGTTGATGTTGCTTGATGGGGTTTATTATTATTAAATCCTTCAATATTTCAACTTATCAAGAATTTCTACCTTCTTCTTAAAACTTAAAACCAGTTTCTTATGTTTTGCCACATTTTCAAGAGCAACAACACTTCTTTTAGGAAAAGTCATAATAAATAAAATACAGGAAATATTGTAAACAAATTTTCATTTGCTGTATATGAAATCACAGTACAATTGACAGACAAACACACAAAAATGAAGTCAAGGAAGTTGTAGAGTCCTCTATCAGAATTGTTTTGATTTCATAATTCAAACTAAAAAAAGTTATAAAAATATTCCTATAATAGTAGAGTATATTATATTATTATATAGATTATTATTGTGAAATCCGCGATTTTTACGCCGATGTTGGAAAAATCTTTGTAAACAACTCCGATGGAAAAACCCACTCTTGGTGAGAAGTATATCGGAAGTCACCGATTGTTTTCACATTATGATGGGAAAGTTGACAGTTAGTTGATCGGAATGCACCGTAAGTGTCAACTGAAGTCGATCACGTGCCTCATTTCCCACGAATAACGTATAAAAGCTCGAGTCCCCGGAAGCTCAGGGCGATCCCTCGGAAGTTATACTTGGTAGATGTGCCATATTTGTCTCCATACTCCGGACCGAAAGGACATACGACCAACCACAGCCGTTTGAACTTCCATCGCCATTAACGAACATATTCAACGAACGCATTTTAGACATATCGGCATACAGGTATCTGTACTTTTTAGAGCTTTGTGAACTCTCTCTCAGACTAGCAGGTAAAGCTATTAGAGCGTCCCTTTTGTACAGTGAATTTATTTAATCGCATTTAACCTATGTATCCTAGCTTAGTTATATAAATAAATGCTTGTTTTGTTTTTAAACCTGTCTCCTGTCTCTGAAGGACACCTGCCGACTTACCGACGCACTCCCCACTCAAATTTTTGCCCTCCTAGCCATCCGACTAGCCGAGAACGGGTTTTACCAACCTGTTGCAGAGTAAGTGGTCATTTGGGATGAGCCCAGTGGCCCACTGCTAATCTCACATTATTATTATTATTATTGTATGGGAGTATGCAATTACTGTATACAGGGTGATCGGAAAATGTCTGGCCAAAATTTAAAAAGGGTTAGAGGGGATGAATATAAAAGGATTCGCAGTACAATGCTTGTCTGTAAATGCCACGTAAAAGTCCTGGAGAGTAAAGAAAGTGGAAAGGTAAAAGGAAAGAGACACAAACAAATGTAACAAGCCCTTTATTAAATCAACATGTCACAGCAAATGCTCGAAAGAGCAACAACCAACCATAATACAAGCTTCACTTCGCCGCAGCACAGAATGGTGTACATTAGCATAAACACCAACCACATCATGTCTGCTGGCATTGAAGGACCTGCTTTTGCGAAGCTGTCTGTGCACTCACTCTAAAGTTTAACAATGCAATATTTCTCTGTTGTGAAATCATTCCCTGTACAATCTTTGCGCAGCTTTCCCATTTCAATTCACAGCTCTACACATCAGATGGATATCTGCTAGTTCAGCATCTGTGAAGCACTGCATGCTGTATGAAATCACAGCGGGGAATGACAGTTTCCAGCATTGCTGGCTCGCTTTGACTGCCCTACACAGCACCATCTACCACCTTCACACGGCATTTCCGGACAAGCATTGTACTGCAAATCCTTTTATATTCGTCCCTTCTAACCCCCTTTAAATTTTTGCCAGACATTTTCCGATCACCCTGTATACGTACAATTTTATATGCAGTAAAACCTCATTAAGTTGAAATTTGAGAAATAAAAATCCCAATTTTAACATCTAATTTTCTCAAATTGTTTTGTGGTCATAAATTTCCCACTATTGAGATGTTTCTCAAGAATTTGTTCATAGTACGATTACAAAATTTGTACAGTTTAATAGCTTTTTAGAGTGTGTTGTCAAGGCACCACTTTATACTCCAATCATAATGCCACCAATATACTTTATCAGTAAAAGTATGTTGACATGAGGTTATAATGGCATGTTGTTGTGCATAGAACTATAGTAGTATTGTTTATCTCAATCATATTTATTCACATAGAATATAAGAGAAAATAAAGATTGCCTTTTAAAGGGCGGAGGATACATAAAAAAATAGATTTGAGTTAAAAGTACTGACAATTTCAACTTAATGAGAACATTTTATAACTCTATATATTGTTTCTGGGGTCTGTAGACAGCTTCAAGTTAATGCAGTTCAATTTAGCAAGATTTTACTGTATCTTATAATATAATCGAGATCGGTTGATGATGATGATGATGATAATAATAATAATAATAATAATAATAATAATAATTAGCAGA